ATAATATAATATAGTGTATTTATTGGTATTAAAACAAAAAAAGAATGAAAAAAATAAGATGAATATCCAGACAAGGACAGAAGAAAATTAAAGGTGGCTGATAAAAGGACTGATGTATTTTGTTCTGAGCTCTCTTCTTCTTACATTTTTCAGCTGTTGTTATTCCTGTCTTGGATCAAGATCGGAACAAGGTCCTTGCTGTTGTATTGGTGAGTACGTGCATTCAAGCCAGTAAATGGATTTTAGAGAAATTAGTAGAGTAATCAAACGCCACCCTCACCTTCACTCCCTCTTTTATGAAAAGTCAGAGAAGTGATTCAGCTTCAGTTAGTGCAGATAAATAACCCTGAAGCATGTCCCGAGCTCACGTACAGCCCAGTTTTGACAGGTTGTGTGTATACGTGTGTGTGTTTGTTGCAGGTGGGCTGTAACCCACTCTCAGATCAAGATGAACTCCATCTGAATGTTCTGGAAAAACATGTAAGCTTTTCTTTTCTCTGTGCTTTGTGTTCACACTAGAAAGTAAGTTGAAAATGCTTGAGAAACTGACTCCACACGTCACAGGTGTGTTTCACAAAGAAACTGTGCAGCCCGAGTCAAAAGTAAACATGGATTTTCATCCTGAATGCACATCGGACTTAAGAAAAGGGCAGACTTAACACATTTAATTTGTGCGTTCAAGACAACATTTTTAAGTTTAAAGTGGGAAAACAGATTTCCTCCTAGAGTCAGAATTCTGACCTCAGAATCCAACATGGCTGCCACTCACACGCACTGTTAACTGCAGTAATTAGAGATATATTTATTATTTTATTAATTTGTTTTCTACTAAATTAGTTGCATTTATAGGACTGTACAAGCTGTGTTAGTGAGCATGTTGCTATACAGGGTTGAATGTTTAAAAATCAGAGAAGTGCATGGATCTGGGCTAGAATTTTCTAAAGCAGTTAACTCGGTCAGTGAGCACAACAATTTCTCAGTCCTGCTGGTTTCTGATTTGCAACTGGAACACAGTTAAAGGAATACAGTAGTCCCTCGTATATTGCAGGAGTTATGGTCCAGACCCGTAAAGTAAGTAGGGATGTTATATTTATTTTAGTATTTATATATTTTTTAAGGATTTATAAATGCTTCCCACACTCCCGCAGTGTTCTAAACTCTTAAACTACGTCATTTAAACAACATATGTATATGTACTGTACAGTATTGTCTGTATGTAGTTACTAAATTTTACTTACCAGCTTAGTAGAAGAGCAGCGGCTCGTTTCCGGTCCGACTCGGTTCCGGTCTGACTCGGTGCAGTTTCTGCAGACCTACCCTGCAGCAATGAAGCCCACAATCAATGTTCTAAACTCTTAAACTTATTTTTAACAACATGCTTATCTGTAGCTACTAAATTTTTCTTACCATCGCGTCCCCTCTTGGTGGTCCTTGTGGGCCGGCTACCAGCTCTCAAGATTCGCCAGTGGGTCTAGAGGTCTGGTTCTGTTCTGGTCCAGTTCTGTGCAGCCCTTGAGTGCTGAAGCGCATTTTGGTGGGGTGGGGTTCGAATGGGTGGTCCAAGAGATTAAAAAAGTCCTGGTTGGCTTCAAATGAAGCTCCGGACTGCAGACGGCACGCGTCCTTCTCAGAAGTCCTTGTGGACCGGCTACCAGCTCTCAAGATGGTTCAAGAGTCTGGTTCTGCTCCGGTTCTGGTCCAGTTTCGTAGGTTCTGTGCTGCTTTCTGCATCCGCTGGGCGCCGAAGTCACTGAACAAGCACCTGAAAAAAAATGTGGCTAACTTTTTCTGATCGATCAAAACTTTCCCTCTAGTATTTCAGCAGAAGGCAACGGGGCTTCTGGGCAGGGCATTGTTGACTTCTGGGAAATGTAGTCATTATGAGCGGGGATTCAGTTTAGGCTTTTTGAGAGAAAACTACAAAATGGCGGCACCTGTCCGAAGTATTTTATTTTTTCATTAACTTTTTATTGTACAGTTTCCAGTACTGTCCCAATCACATGAATATTAAAGTTGACAGTCATGTGTTGTGTACAATCTTACTTTGAAAAACCACAATAGAGCGAATCCGTGAAAATCGAACCGCGAAGGATCGAGGGACTACTGTAACTTGGATCTTTAAAGTGGTGTTGTGTTTGAGGTTAACAGTAATTAACATCTTACCTGCAGCAGAAATCACCCTGAGCGTTATCAGTTTGTAATTTCAGGCCCAAGTTCTCTCAAGGGAGATGAGCCAGCAGATTTACAGGGTGTAAAACACACGTGCTCAGCAGATAATCCCGTGCACGGCTGGATGTGGGCTTTTGATGAGAATTACTGAAATGTCATCAAACTATTTTTCTCTCAGAAAGGCCTCCTGGCTAACTCTGGTGCTCGTGTGTGTGTGTGTTTGTCTGTGTGCATGTGCCACACTGAAGGCCTCAGTGGCCTATCTACGCATCCAGTCTGTGCAGGCGTCCTATCAGAGGCCTCCTCTCAGCCCGTCTCCTCTGCAGTCCCACAATGCTCTGCTGCACCTCATTGTGTCTGAGCAGGACTACTGCGAGCTGGACCGCAACATCCTGCAGCTCTGCGGTAACGCACACGCCTACACACACTCGCCAATGATTCCCAGGACACTTTTATGCATTCACCTATCTCTTTTACTCTTTCTCAAACGCATACATTTTACATTCCCCGCAGCCTTTGTACACAAACGCAGAACTCGTGCATGAGCTGCGAGTGAGGGGTGTTAATAAACTGAGCCCCTGTGGACGAGAAGCTCTGAATTCAGATGCAGAATGTCACAAGCACAAGGTGCCTCTGACAGCAGCAATTTGAAAACAGAAGCAAAAGAAGTAAAGCATCTCATGCATGATGGTCTCGCTCCTGCCCACTTACGTCACCGTTGTTTACTTTCTGGTAATTGTCAACAAATACGAGTTGTTGTTTTTTTCCTCCTTAGTTTTCCCTCTGCCTCACCTCCCTGCTCGTCTGTCCAACTCGCTCAGCTCCTTCTGCAGTCCAGGCAGCTTCCCATCCCTTATCTCTTCTTTGTTATCAGCCCCCCTGTTGACCGGCTGCTGTTCACCCCTCCCTGACCTCCTGTCTGAGTGCGTCCCTCCTCTCCTCCTGCTTACATGATCTGCATCCCCATTCATCCTTAACATCACTCTGCCCTCGCTCCTCTGTGTTTTCCCCCCCTCCATCACTTTCTCTTTGTTTCTTTTTAGGTGAGCTCTATGACCTTGATGCGGCTTCTCTCCAGCTCAAAGTCATCAATTATGTAAGTGGCTGAGATCACCATCGCACACACACGTGCGCACAAACGCGCACTGGTGTTCTATGCAAAACATCTTTCCCCGTGGCTTCTCCTCTTCCTGTCGCCAGATTTTTATCGCTGCTTTACTTCATCCATCTCCCCACAGAACAACACCCCTGCCCTTTATAAATGCAGGGAGATAGACTCCAGGGGTGGGGGCGGGGGGTGGGGGGAGATAAGAGGCGGGAGTAAAGATGTGAGGAAGAAACAATGAGCAGAAATCTGACTAATGTATGGAATTATTCACAGATAGGGAAATATGGAAGAAACGGGGCGCAGAGTCAGAGAAGCTGCAGATTTAAAGGTTAAACAGCATCAGAGGGAGAAAGAGTCGGTCCCTCAGAGTGCAGGGTTTCTAAATATCAAAAATATTTGTCCTTTGAAGGTCACACAGATGATAAACTGTAAAACTGGATGTATTTTACCAGCTGCTTTGGATTCTCCAGCTTTCTTTTCTTGCTCTTTGTAACGACAAAAGAGAAAAACAATGACCACACTGTGTCAGCGAAATGATGAGAATCTGTTGTTTTATCTGCTAAACCTATTCAGGTTAGACTTGTATAATATTTCAAAATAAAGGTTTTATTTCTCACTTTCCTTCCTCTCTGTGGCTATCAAACTTTTCAACTCCTCCCCTTTTCTACACATCAAAATTAATCCTGCACCACAATGAACACTTTAATATTTCTGTGTGCACCTGACCTGTTTAGACCTCAACTGTTTGTATTTTTTATATTCTCCGTTAGTTTTTTATTTCTTGTGTGACTCCTTGTGTATGTTCCTTTGTACTGAAACTCTCCCACAACAATTTCCTGCAGGATCAATAAAGTTTTATCTTATCTTATCTTATGATTTTTATTTTTTTCAGCCAAACTTGAGGAAAGGTTTATTATTTACAGGTTTTTAATGTGCAGAAGCTTGACTGTAAGGGCACACAAAAAGTTTTAAATACTCATGTGGCTTATTTATCCTTTATTATTTATAGGCAGGCCTTCGAGCGTGCCTGTAGGTCTGTATGCTGATAGGCTCACTGTGAAGTCGTTAACATACGTCTACACAGGCACATCTAAAAAATTTAAATGTTGTGAAAAAGTTCAGTATTTTTTGTCAGTCACTTCTTTAGTGAAACTCATATCTTACATAGATTCATAACACACAGAGTGAAATGTTTCAAGCCTTTATGTCTTGTCATTCTGATGATTGTGGCTCACAGATGATGAAAACACAAACCTCTCAGAAACTGCATCATTTTATAAAA